TCTCGTCAGTGAATTAAATGTCAAAACATATTAAAATAAACGACAAAACCATAACAAATTTATTTACTCTGATTTGTTTTTCTTTTCTCTTATTTTCTTTTCTTTTTTCTTAAGCAAAACATAATAAAATAAATCACGAATCCCCAAGATATTTGTTTATGCTCTTTAAATGTTTGATTTGATTTGATTTGATTTGATTTGATTTTATTTGTTTTGATTTGATTTGTTTTGTTTTGCTTTTTGTTTTGTTTTGCCTTATTTTTTTTGTTTTTGCTTTCCTTTCTTTTCTTTTCTTTTTCTTTTCTTTTCTTTAGTTTTTATAGTATTTATGCTCTTTAAAATTTAGTTTTGTGTGTTTTTTTTTTTTTTTTTTTGTGAAATTTATTACTATACACCACAAGGAGGAATTTATTTTATATCTTTATTAAGGAATTTATTCGATCTCTTTAATTTTTTTTCTTTTGTTTTCTGAAGCAAAACTTATTAAAATAAACCACAAAACCCCAAGATATTTATTTACGCTCTTTAAAAAAAAATTGTTTTGTGTTGTTTTATTTTGTTCTTTTTGTGTTCTTTTGTTTTGAGCAAAAAATATTAAAACATACCTAAAAATCATCAAGAATTGTAAGTTTTGGATTAAGTGCAGTTCAGTGAAATGCAGTTATTGCCTGTCTGAACAAAGTCTTCAAGTCTCAGATTTTCAAGCTCTTTACGAAAAAAGCCCTCAACAATCAATACTTGTAGCCCTAAGGAAAATCAATATGTGGTGCTATTGTAAAGCACAACTTCTTTTTCTTTCTCTTTTTTTTTTTTATCAGCTGTCGCTTGATACAGGGATTAGGTTCAGTGAGCTGTTGGTGATTCAAAGACCAATATTTGGATTTTTTTTCTTAACTACTGGGAATGTTCACACTGAATTCACTAGTCTGCACGTGCATCTTTGGAAGTGATTCACAGAAATGTGTGGGGGGTTTTCTGCAATCTAAAAGTTTCAGGCTGTGATGATGTCCATAAATTAAGAGCAGTTATGACCAGTCATGCTTCAACCTTAATATAATTACTCACATCCTCTTCACTTTTCATCCCATAATGACATATTCTCCCTAAGACACACTCCTCCACATTCAGCCTTATTAACAAGCCATAATGACATATAGAGATAGGCCATAAAATGCTTCCTATTACTGTCATTTATTGGTGGAAATAAAACCATTGAAGACTTTACCACCTAGCAAGCTAATTTTTTTCAAGATCTTGGTCTCTCAGATATATTAAAATAATAATTGATTTATGTATTTGTTTATTTTTATGTAGGGTCTCTCTTTTAGTGCAAATAACAAAATAAAAAATCATGAGTTCTATTTAGTAAACTCTCAATGTATAATAAAATTTAAGCCAACAAACTAAACTGATTTGTAGTCCACAAGTAAGGTTTTGTCATCAATCTCTCCCTCTGTGTGTACAGTATGTGAGACTTTTTTTTTCTCGAACACGGAGAGCCAGACTGGGCCGCGTTCGTTAGAATGATGCTGCTGCCGTCTCAGTCGGTCGTTAGCGGTTAATTGAGCGGTAGGAGCCAAGACACGAGCAGGCCATCTGTTTGCCAGAGTGGAACATCTTGTGGCACTCGGCTCGGCGCTGGGCCACCGTGCCTCAGCCCTGAATGGTGCAATATTAATAGATC